GGCAGGGTTTGCATTGTGGCGGTCCAGGTGTGCACAGCCTTTGGGGAAGCTCCAGCAGTGGACGTCAAGACTTATTTCTAGAGGTCACGCTTCAGCTTTTAAGTCGGCTTGTAGCTGTTACAATGACAGTGGCAGGTGTGTGCTTCTGCATATTTTGCCAGATCTGTCTTGCAGCAGTGTCCGAGTCCTGTGGTCACACACACTTGGTGCTGGCCAAGGTAACGTTGTGCTACTGAAATGGGGATGCCAGATTTGATGAAGGCTGGGTCTGATGTGGGATAGGCCACCGTGGTGGCTCTGTTGCACCCTATGCATTGCTGCTGTTGGGACAGGCAGCCACCGTCGTCTGGTCCCTTCCCAGGATGGGCATCACACCCTTTCAGAATGGGTTCAGTCACCCTGGCGCCATGACTGATCTTGCAAAAAGCATTTTTATCTCAACAAACGGATTTATTTCAGCGCTCAGTCGCAGCCCAGAGTGGCAGGTGCGGGACTGTGTGTGCCAAACCTTTGACTGGGGAGCGCAGGCCAGGTATGGAGCTGGCTGGTGCAGGGTGACCTGTTGTGCCATCTAGCCACATGCGGGCTGGGCACAGCGCTGCGGGAAGAGACGGAGACCTGGGCTAACATGGCTGGACTTGCTTCTGTAGCTCTTGCAGAAAGGTTTGAGGGGAGAGCGTTCCCCCCCCAACCCCTTTGCTTTGAACTACTCGTTTAAAAATGCCGGAAGCCTAATGAAGCACATGGGAGCTTTCCCACTGCCTCCAGTGGGATTTGGATCTCGCCCCCGCTGTCAAAGCATGGCAGCCAACGCTGAGATCAGGAGGAGGGGACGGGACTGACATTTGAGTCAGATCTTTAAAACACACAGAGTTCCTGCTAACATCAGCGTTTCCTTCCTGCGTAACGTACAGCAGTGAACATCGCTGTAACTAGTCTGTGTTCTGTGTGGTGCAGAAATCGAGGGACATAACAGGTTTCATGCAAGTGTGGCCTTTATGAATGAAAAAATGTTTATATGCCAAATAAACAGCCTTGGAAAATTAACCGCTCCCTGCGGTGTGCACAGACATCGGTAGTCCACACTTAATGATGCTGATCCACCACATGTTATTCTGGAGTAAAGGGGCCCAGCATCGTGGCTGGAGGCTGCAGTGCCTGTTGAGATTAGTGAGGGCTATTGAGATTAATGAAGCCAGTCATTGCCCCTTGTGATCTCAAGTGTGTGATTTAGGGATGCCTGGCTGTTGGGATCTGGAACGAGGCCCTTCAGACCTGTGGGACGTGGATCGCTGCATGGCAATGAGACAGTAATGGTTTTCATTGCAGCCATAGGCTGAATCTGGGAGAGGAAGGGCTCTGTTGTGCCTCCTGAGCACTGGAAAAGATGTGCAGGGGTTGTGTATACAAAACATTGCAGAAAATAGCTATTCCATCTGTGCTTCTCCTCAGTCTGCCTCAACTTATTCCCCTGTACTCTCTGGCATCCTTAAAGCCCCGGATAGCAAAGACTGAATGTACTGTGCTACAAGCACAGGATTTGCAGGTGTCACCAGTGTTGCTGGTCCTTGTCTGAGCAGGAAAGTTTTATGTCAAGTGTCCAGGTGATTTGCAGGAAGGCTTTGTGCAACTATGCCCATCCTTACCAAGGAAGGGAAGACACCTCCTTGGTTTGAAATCGGTTTAATCCTGCATGCGTGAAGAGTTGCCTCCACCAGGCTGTTCCAAGCTGCTGGAACTGGTGTGTGACATCCCATCCAAAGCTGTAAGCAAGTCTCTCATGTCACAGAGGAAAACAAAATAGTGTTCGCTGCTGCCAAACAGTGTGTCACAAGAGAAAAATCCTCTCCTGGCTCTTGCAGGGAAACCGCTGATGCCCTAGTTGGGAAAAGGGTCTGACGGCAGTCTCCCAAAGTTGCTTGCTTCTGTAAAATGGGGCAGAGCATTCAGTTTTGCCATGCCAGAATTGGCTGCTCTATGTTTCTGTACTGCTTCTTAGTGACCGCTTCCTTTCTGCTCCCTTCAGTGTGTTAGAGAAGTCTGTGCAAACATTCAAAAAGGGCCAACAAGTTAAAACACCTCAGGCTGATGTTTTTTTAACTGATGGATGCCAGATGGCCACGTGACACCAGAGTGCATGTACAGTGCCTGAACATCTGGCAGAGCTCTTCCAAGAGAATCCGTTGGATGGTCCCCACAGGGAGTTCAAAGAAGTTGTACTTGCAGCTTTCTGCTGCACAAATAAGCCAGCTTAACTATAGCATGTCATTTCTAGTTGTCCATCTACAGCTCAAAACTGATCTCTGTGTTGCTGAAACCATGTGCAAGTGCAGGGCAGGTGAATGTCATGGTTAAAATTACAAACAAGGCCATTTGTTCAAGGGAAAGGGACTGAGGCCTTTTCTAAGCTCAGACATACTGGGACTTGTGCTTTCACTGGGGATTGGACCTGAAATCCATAGCCAGATCATAACTATTCCAAAGTTTTGGAGTTTTTTCAGTTTTCTCCTGATCAACAGAAATGTTTAATCTATTCTGATGTGTGCTATAATAAAACATGTGCTGTACTCTGTGAAAATGGAACTTCTGGCTTGAATATAGATAGCGTGTGAGTAATCTGTAACATCATCACCAGTAACAAGACCATTTTAAATGAAAGTCTGCCCTGTTGTGTCCAGCTGGAAGTTGATAGATCCATCTCTTGAATAGTTCTCAGAAACCTTGCTCCTAGTCAAGAATGTTGCTCCACTTTTTCTTCGGTTGAAACAAAGAAGAGACAGTTTTCTTTCTGGTTATTATTTTACTTGACAGTGTTTTTTTGGTGTTTTTTTAAAAATACATGTTATGTAACAGCTTTTGCAGAAAGAAGAAACCAACTGTGTCTTGTTAAAAAGGAGGGTGAAGGGTAGAAGTGGGTGGACAGCCCCTTCCCACACCTCAGAGCCAGCTTCCCCAGGCTCCTGATCTGAACTTGTGAATGTGGGTCCTGTTGTGTGCTGCCTTCTCTTTAAAGGATGTGGTCCTGGAACAAAAGAGCCGGGGTAATGCGTTTTCTTTAAAATCCACAGCAAGTGCAACTGTGGTTTTAGCTTTGGAAGTGACTTTCTGAATTTGAATATATAATTTTATTTTTTTTTTTTAACTCCAGAAGCGAATTTATGAAGTTGACTGCAAGATCATTAAAGCAAAACAAACTTTATGGCCTTCAAAGTTTTCTTGAAGAATATTTTCAGCTCATCTGAAGATGACAGTTAATTTGAGCTGTGATGCCCATAGTGGCTTGTACAATCCAGAGTGTTCCTTCTGTGAATAGCAGATCTGTAGTCTCACAGACCAGTCTCGGATTTTGGCAGTTCTTCAACAAGTTGGTTCTTCCAGAAAGTGGCTGGGAGTAATGAGAGTTAATATGAGGGGATATTGGATTTCAGAGAGAAATTTTCCTGGCTGGATAAACAGAGCTTTTAATCTTGCAGAGATATGTTGGCCTATTTGGACAACAGGGTGATTCCCAAGTGGAGGAAGCGGTTTGGTTAGCCAGAAATAATCTCATATTTCTTATTAATGGAAAAATCTTGTCTTCAAACCAAAGTTTGTTATTTGATTGTCTTAGTGTGGGTGTACAGTGCATTCATTTGGCTCAGCTTCTGCTTATGTTGAGTTTAGCTATGAAAAGATCCTATGGTAATGTGTGGCACATAGGCGCTTACCACCAAACACCTGTTTGAGATCCTTCCTCCAGTTGCAATATGAAAGGAGCCTTGTGATACCATTTCAGCCTGTCATCATAAACTGCCTCCCGGCAGTACTTTTTGTCCGTGAGAGATCTACCTCTCAAAGTTCTTGAAACACAGGACCCTGCTTCTTGCTAAAGGTGATCATCCAGGCTGGTGTGTTTTTAACACTGGAAGATAATACAGGCTCATTTATAGCATGTCTTGGCGTGACATCTTCATGCATTGTGGATGAGTTCATCAGCAGTAAGAACAACCCCTGTGGTCCTGTGCTGGAGCATTGGGCAGCCCTGGTGGCCGAACCATCGAAAATCACCGTTCCCAATCCAAAATGCATCAGTCTGGCTTAAAAAAATACAGCTTCTGCTCCTCCTCTGCTCTGCTGTTTTGTTCTGGGTTATTCAGTATTCATGTTTTTGAGATTTCTATGTATCAGTGGTAGTTGTAAATCTTCCTTTTTAATAATAAAAGCTGTGGGGTTTGAGGCAATCACAGGACTCCTGGAGCTCGGCTCTGTGGTCAGAAATACTAAGGATTTGTTATACTGCTGCTGTTACTGGGTAAATTGGTAGTTAAACGTGAGGACAGAGGTTGGTTGTTATTGTTGCATTTTACATCATTCTTAAGTATGACATAAACTTGAGACAACCCACTCATGAGACCTGGGACAGTTGAGTCAGCTTTTTCCTTTTTTTCTTGGTGCCTGCAAGTGAATTACATGTGTTCTTCCAGCTTTTACAACTAATAGCCCACCAAGAAATGAAAATTCCCTCCTGTTTACCTTGTAGTCAAGTAAAGGAATTGGAATCACAGTCTTCTCTGTGTTTTTGGGTTGGATGGTTTCCACAGGACTGGGAGGGTGCAGAGGAGGGGGTTGCGCTGTTCAGCGCGGAGCAGGAGTGGAGATGGCCAGCTGCCACCTGCGTGGGGCTGCCCTTACGCCCGGTCGGGTTCACACAGCTCTGCACCCCGCTGCCTGCATCCTCCTCCGCCTTGCTGCCCGGCCTTTGTGTGTTGGGATCCCGGCGATGGGCTCAGGTTGGAAGAAGGATTGATCTTCCCGGGCTTTGATGTGTTAATTCCCCAGAGGAGCTGTTTGCTCCGCCTGGGGAATGCTGCCGCTTCACGGCTCCACTTCCCACACCTCCTGCTCCGCTGCCGTTCACCTCCATCCTTGGTTAGACGAGGAAACCTGCCGTCACTTAACCTCTCTGTCTCGGTTCAGAGGAGCCCTGACAGTGCCTGCAGTGCTGGAGCTCCTGGGCTGCCTGCCACAGTCGCTCGTGTCCTTTAAATGCATGAAGATAGTCATGACCAGCATGGAATATAGCTGGGACATTCACGGACACTGTGTCTGGCTAAATAAGGTAAGGCTATCTGTGTGTGTTCTGGCTCTTGCATTTCTCTGAGAGCCATAGCTGGGCAATGCTGGTAGGGAATAAGCGTTTTGTCTTTCTCTCGTATCAGATACCAGCTGAGCTGCTGTTGAAGAAACTGAGTATTTTGAAACCGTTGTATCTTCCCTATTCAACAGCCATGTTATTTATATTTAGAAAATGTTTCAGGTAAATTCCTCAGAGTGAAGGTCTGTCTTAAGCTGGTTTTCTTTCAGAATTCACTCCTATTGTAGTGAAGCCTTTAAAATACAACGCGGGGGGTTTGAGTGGGGTGGGGTTTGTTTTTTTTCCCGTCACCTGCTCATTCGGTAGGGAGGAACTAATCTGTAAACTTTAGGAAAAGCTTAGCAGCAGGTCTGCCTGCCTACTGCTGGAGCATGTGGAGCAGGCTGCAGATACTCAGAATGATGAGCAGGAAGGTGTGAAATGCAGGAGATGCTGGTTTGGGAGGGCAGTGGTGGGCTCCCATGCAAACTGGTTATGGATTTTGTTCAGACAGATTTGACCAGTGTGAATTTGGGATGGAATCAATACTTACAGAGGGTTAAGCTGCCATAGCTCTGTATGACAGGGGAAATGGTGGCGAATACTTTGCTTGGAAAACCTGGAGGCTCTGCCTGTGGCACACCGAGCCAATGTCAAGGTAGCTGAGGCTGGCGAAGCCCCCCTGCAAGGGACTCCCTAAAACTGAGTGAACAGGCAGAACAGCCGTGCTTAGTTAAGCATAGGTAATGTGTATGATAATGATCTGAACAACGTAAGCATGTTGATGAGCTCTAATTTAACTCCAGATGGTCAGGAAAGAGATGTCAGGGACAGCTCACCCAACTGTTGACAGGGCTGTGGTGGTCCAAACAGTCAGTGCAATCTGCCGTACAAGAAAATAATGCTGTGGAGTGGCAGCTCCTTCTATAGAAACCAAATTGCATCTCCAGCAAGAACAGTGTGATTTGTTCTGCTTATTTTATCTCAAAAGCAGAAGAGAAAATGAGGGTATCAGCTGCAGTAGGTTAAAAATGTGTTTTATTTTTGAAAGGAGAATTCAGTAATTGAGAGGAAACTGACTTTTCTATTTAATTAGGAGGCTTAGAACAGCAGCTATTAGAAACTTTCCTGTGGTATGGAATGCTAACTCACTTCCAGGGAAAATGCATTAAAGACTGAGGGCAGGCAAGGTGTGAAAGTGTGGTGATGCATCTAGTTATTACATGAGTAAGTCCCTCCAGAGCAGTGTGGATTTTTACACTTACATGATTACAGACAAAGCTTAAACACATGTTGAACAGATTAGCCATGGTTTGATCTTGCAGAGTTTTTAAGTGCACTGGATCTGGTCTTATAAGGCGTTTTAAGTAAACGCTTAACCTCAAACTTCTGCGAAGCCTCAATGACATCGTGACAATTGTTCTTTTGTTTTTAGGATTAAGATCAGTATTGGTAAATCTGCATTCTCTTCCCATACAGTGTTTTGCAATTAATCCCTAAATTGAAAACACATGCTAAGTCTAACAGCTCAATTGAGCATACATTTTAAGTTGCTGATGAAGAAGAGCCTTCTTTGGAAAATGGCAAAGCTTGTCTTACACAGCTAATAAAGTATGTTAATCCTGCATTTACTTGGATGATACAGATTTGATCCAGAACTACCAAGGGCCCCAAATACTCCTGCAGTTGCTATTGAATCAAATATTTACTTTGTTGTTGTTGTTAAAGCACAGCCATTGCTCTGCAGAGTGAGTAGTTGCTGGGCTCAGTCTAAGGGGAGGCTGCAGGTCCCCAGGTGGAGAGAAACTCCTCCTGAAGGATGCACTGAGTATTGCTCACCCAGGTTTTGCACACCAGGTCTCCTGGCATTTTTCAGACCTCCCTGCAGCCTGTTCGTCCCCGTTGGGGCACCCTCTATCCCATCTCCTGATGCACTGCTTTCCCATATCCAGTGTTTGAGCACCTTCCCTCTCTTTCATTTCAGTCCGGTCCACTGCCGTCATTACAGTGTTCTTCTTTTCATGTGTTTCATCTCCTCTCTCCCTTCCTCATCTCTCTGGGAAGAAAATCATGACAGGTATCAACTTTATACCTTTGAAGACAGCACAGAGGAGAGATGCAGGAAGGCATCTTGTGGCTGTTACCTGCAGGTCTCTGGTCTCTACACTATCGTAGGAGGTGCTGGGGCTGCTACTCTGTGAAATAGCTGCCATGACCTTTCTGTGTTGTCCTTTCTCCAACTCTCATCTTTTTCCCCACTGAAACCAAAGACAGTAACTTTCTTGCCTTTTTGTACCTAAAATGAAGAGTTAGTCCCAGGTATTATGCAGAAGTTACAACATCTCAGGCAAAAAGCAAACTGCTGTTGTGTTGTACACAAAGTTTTCTATTTTTGGTGTACCTCAGGAGATCTGTTTTTATGCAGATTTTACAAAATATTTTTGGCAACAGTCAGCAAAGATATCTTTGTATTTGGTTTTCTGGGAGAACAAGTTTTACCCTAGTCCTATTTGGGGTTCCCATCACCTCCTCCCTTTTTGTTATGGCAATGTGGAGCTGTGGCCTGAACTCTCACTCTCTAAAAGTATGATGTGCACTTTCCTGTGCTTCAAGAAAGACACTGAGGTGCTGGAGCATATCCAGAGAAGGGCAACAAAGCTGGTGAAGGGTCTGGAGGGCAAGTCTTACGAGGAGCGGCTGAGGGAGCTGGGGGTGTTTAGCCTGGAGAAGAGGAGGCTGAGGGGAGAGACCTGACCACTCTCTACAATGACCTGAAAGGAGGTTGTAGTGAGGTGGGGGTCAGCCTCTTCTCCCAGGCAACTCATGACAGGACAAGAGGGCATAGTCTGAAACTGTGCCGGGGGAAGTTCAGGCTAGAAATGAGGAGGCATTTTCTTCACGGAAATGATCGTTAGGCATTGGGATGGGCTGCCCAGGGAGGTGGTGGAGTCACCATCCCTGGAGGTGTTTGAGAAAAGACTGGACATGGGACTTAGTGCCGTGGTCTACTGGATATGGTGGTGTTAGGGCAAAGGTTGGACTTGGATTATCCCAGAGGTCTCTTCCAACCTAATCAGTTCTGTGATTCTGATTCTGTGCCGAGCAAAACAGGATTTTTTTGAGAAATGTGAACCCAGTTTAACAGCAAAGGTGTCTTGGCAAGATGCTATGCTATGCACAATGACTAGCATTCTACTTTAACACCTGATCGGTTTTCACAGCATTGTAAAGACATTGTCATTGTACTGTGAAACGAATACTTCCCTCCCCATGTTTTCTTCATGCAGTCTTTGGTTTTAGTTAATTTGTGTCTGGTTGCTGTGACAAGAGGTATCGGGAGGTTCAGTGGTTAGGGTGCTGATGTGGTGGTTGGGAGGCAGGGAGTTGGGTCTGTGCTTTGCCAAGGACTTTCCTGTTAGCCCCAGCAGGGTGGAGTGGGTCTTGGCGCCTCAGCTGCCTGCTTCTAATGAGGGATGAATATCACTTTCCTACATCAGACACATATGCTGGATTGGTGAATGTGTTGCATATTACAAAGCATGGACACTGTTCTTAAGGAGGCTGAGTAAGTGCCTGAGATCTGCTGGAGGACTTTAAATGAGAAGGGAGCTACAGAATAGCAAAAGTATACAAAAACCTTGGTTTTGTATTTCACATACAAGTCAAGTTACAAAATTAAAAGCATAATCTGCTAGTTGAGCAGCTAACAAGTTTATTTTGGAAGCTCTTCCACTTCTTTCACCTAAATTAAAGTCTTACAAAACTGACGATCTCACTGACCTTGAATGGAAATCCTATGACATGAGCTAAATTTTGGTAGAGGTCAGGGGAAAACCAAGGCGAACTCAGAAGTTTAGGGTACTTCTGCCTTGGTGCTTAGTGTCTGGGTGGTCAGAAGGCCTAGTAATTTACTGCTAAATAATTCAGGTAGAGGGTATCGTTATGATTTGAGGTATTGGTACAAATTACTAGAGAGCATCTTTTAGTCTGCTGTAGCTCTTGTAGCAGTTACGCATGCATGCTTGGGAAACACATTTGCTACTGCACACTGATTTGAAAGCTGCCAGGACACAGCCTGATTTCTTGAGAGCGCTAAGGTGAGGTCAGATACTTTGTCCCCCCTCCTGTTTGCTTTGTGTCTAATCTTTAAGTAGTGCTGTGTCTAATCTTTAACTAATCTTTAACTTAGAAAAGGAGTTGTAGCCAGCAGGTTTCCTGAGGCTTCCTCTGCAATTGAGGAGATGAGCTGCTTGAACAGGAGATTCAAAGCGTGAGCCTGAGGCTTGCAGCTCCTAAGTGATGGTGGCCTCCCAAGGCAGGGTCATACTACAGACTCACTGGGGCATGGGGATTAGTCGCCCGGTTTCTTTTTGTCACATATTCAGAAGGAAATCAAGGCCCCTCAATGTTGGTGGGAGTCTTTGCTGAGCACACTGGATTTCAGAGCAGCTTCTCAGACTCCTCTAAGCGATTTATGAAATGATGGGAACAAGAATTTCTTTTCTGAGCTGAGATCTGATTGTGCCGTCCATCACAAAGTGCTTTGAGACAGCTTTGAATATGGATAGAGTAAAATCCTCCCGCTGCTCAAGAGCATTGAAGTTATTATGAAGAAAGAAAGTTGCTGATTCCTCTGAACTCTCTGATGGCATTAACATGTATTCTTGTTTCTCTCTAGCCTCAGGCAGCTTTACAAAGAGATGTGTTTAGAGTGCAGACATTCACCCATACCCAGTAAAATGTGCCTGATGTAAAACGATGTCTCTTACTGTGTGTTTTAGGAAAAAATTGTTCGACTTGCAAGAAGCATAATGCACATTTTGTAGATCATGCGTTGGTTTTTTTTCACTTGCTGAATGTCTCAGGGTATTTGTCTCTTTGCAAGTATGGCTTAGCATAATACATCATTGAGCACAAATTTTGTTAACAAAATGCTGAATGCACAGTAAGTGAATATTTCAGAATTGGGTCATCAGAAGGTTCATCCTTTCTTGTCTTTAAACCTCTGAACAATTTTTGTCCTGAGTGGTGGCCGTGTATCCTTTGTTGACAGTTCGTTTAATTTGTAACCCTTTCGGAGCTGGAGAATACTTTAAATCTGTTCTTGAACTGTGCAGACTGAAAATACTCCTTAAGTGTGTTGGTAACATTGAATGACGCTTATGGTATGATAGCTGACTAAGCGATATTTGCTATTGTTTTCAGACTAATGGACACATATCTGGGAATGGAGATGTGTATCAAGAAAGGCTGGCTCGTCTGGAAAATGATAAGGAATCTCTTGTTCTGCAAGTGAGTGGTCACCTAAATTATTTTTTTCTGCTCTTGCATTCATAAGACTTTTTGATAGTTTGTGAGGAAACCTCTGAGGATTTATTTGCAGTTGTGTCATCTTGGACAGTGTTCAGAAGACTTGCTGATACCTGAGAGTTAACCCAGATTAAGGATAGGTATGAATTTAGGTTTAGATTGCAGGAAAAATCTAAAGGCCTTTCTTTCTGTGTATTTGATCTCTTTTTGAATCTTGTTAGCTGAGCAGGTCTGCAGAGCAACCACCTTCTTATATTCATGTGTACCCTTAAGATCGGCATTTTCCATGACCATTCACATGCTGTCTGCATCAGGTGACAGATGTCCTGTTCTCATGAAAGGTGACTAAAGCTGCAGGAGTGACCAACGGGCAGGAGGAGACAAGCAGATGGCCCTGTTGCTGGGCTGGACTGGGTCAACCCTGGGTGCTCTCGCCAGCTGGCTTACTCTTGCCGTTGGAGTTGGGACTACTTGGTACCGCTTGGTCTGTGCAGGCGTCCTACTGTCCCGTGATGCAGACCTGGCCTAGGGGCTGTGACAACGCCGAGCACTGTTCTAGGCAGCTTGCCCTCATTCCCAGCAGTACTGCAGATTTCCTCAAAAGACCCTATTTAAAACAAAAAGTTCATTCAGAAAAGGCAAAATGAGACTCAGTCTGCAGTCTCAAAGGTGTTGTCTTGGTCTTGCCTAGCCTCAGTCTGTGTGTTTTAACCTCCTTTGCTTTTACTGTTCTGAAAAGGGGAAGCTGTATGCTATGGTACACTGTGTGCAATCACTTGGAAAGAAGAATAAATTATATGCAGTGAGATTTAGCTATTTGGTTGTTAAGGCAGGAGCTAATGGGTTTTATTTAATGTATTGTCACAGCAAAGGCGTAATTGTTGACTGTGAAATGCAGCAGCCACCCCTTGTGAAAACTTCCAGGACAAGTCAGGAAGGGAGATGCAGAATTGCAATGCATCTGACAGAACTTCAGCTGAAATTCCAGTAAGCGTGAGGGGAGAGCTTTCCCTCCTCTCCTCTTTCCTTTGCCATGCATTGTGTCCACTGCAGAGCTCTGCTGCTGCTCCTCCTCCCTCCGTGGTCCTATTTAATCTTTGGCCCATGCAGTACTGTTACTCACATACAGTTCTTCAGGTGACACGTAGGGCATGGGTACAAGGTGCTAAGTGTGCATCCCTTTTTTTTCTGCTGTGCAGGTAAGTGTGCTTACAGACCAGGTGGAGGCCCAAGGAGAAAAGATTCGGGATCTGGAGTTCTGTCTAGAGGAGCACAGGGAGAAGCTGAATGCCACGGAAGAGATGCTGCAGCAGGTATTTCACAACCCCGTGTCTGTCTTGCTGTCTGTCTTTGTTCTGCCTTAACAAACTGCATTTTGCTTTGGTGAGAGCAGTGCACTTCAAGGGGTTGCACCCCTTGATGTCTCTTGACTAAGTAATAGTTTCTATCATATTTGCTTTAAAGTCTTTGTACTTAGTAATGTCAGTGCTGCTTTACACTGTAGGAATCCAGTTCTGCTCTCCTTTGAGCCTTTCCTCACTGAACTTCAAAGAGACTTGGATTAAAGCCTCTGGCAGGATGGGTGGATTTCCCTCAAAGCTCCTTGCTACCCAGAGCAACTGTCACAACAGACAACCTTTTTTGTCGTCCTGGCAGCCAACCCATGACAGTGCCCCTGTGATCTCAGATGCATCATAGGTGCCTAGAGTCTGTCAGATGAGTAATAGCTGTGTCCTAGGGCTTCAGATGGTGCAGGGAACAGAGTGATGCTTTTCCCCATGAAAGAGGCATTTAACTGTGGAAATAAATTACTGATTTCTTCCCCTTGGATGAATAATTCTGTTGTCTTCCTTTTTATCTTGAATCAGGAGCTTTTAAGCAGAACATCCCTTGAAACTCAGAAGCTGGATCTTATGGCAGAGATTTCCACTCTGAAGTTAAAGCTTACATCTGTAGAGAAGGATAGATTGGACTATGAGGACAGATTCAGAGACACAGAGGTGAGTAAAACCCAACTGAATTAATTGTGAAAGCTGTATGTGGCTTCACATTACCTGAAAATTTACTGGTTTTTTTTTTTTTTTTCTGCCAGGCAAGAGGGAACTCATCTTTAAGGTTAAAACATGTATCTCTTAAAATAAAAAGTGTCCTCTTTGGTAAAGTCTGGTTTTATAAAGAAAGATTTCCAAAACTAGTTTTTGATTCTTGCCATCAGATCTCAGGAGCGATGGCATTTAGGATGGATTTAAATAAAGTCATGACCAAACTGTCATCTTCTTAGTAAGGCATGTCTGAGGCAAGCGCTTAAGCCCGTTCCAAGTACAAAAAGCATGCCTGTGCAAAGACACAGCCCACTAAAAGACGTAACTTTTGGTTTCGATAACAAAGAGAATGAGGTGTCTCAGTGTGAGGGCATTTTGAAACCTCACTTCAAACGCCAGCCTTACAGAAGCCCAGGACCAAGAGGCCAGTAGTTACTCATCTCCACCTGACTTGAAGTCCAGCGGTGTACAGTGCCAGGTGGAGCTGCCCTCCCTGGCAGTGCTCTCCTGAGGCATTTGCCCTCTGTGCGCCACAAATCTGTGTAGCTGAACCTTGCTCGTGTTTGAAGCCAGAAAGCCTCAAAGCAGGTGGGCAAACCCAGTTTTTCCAGGAAATTCCAAGAATCAGCCTGAGCTTTGCTGCCAGGGTGACATACTCCATATCAGAAATACCTTGGAGTCTGCCTAGGGAGCAGAACAAGATTTCCAGTTCTGGGTTCATAAATGAGCTCGAATGTCAGATGTTCATATTGTGGATGTTCCAGATCTCATTCATTTCTAGAAGGAAAGAAGCCGTAATGTCATCACAGGAGACAAAATTTGCCCTTTCCACTTCAGTCAGTGGTTCACCAACTCCCTTCTAATTTCCTACGTATTTTCCAATGAAGTGTCGTTCCTCACTTGTATTGCAAGCATAAGAGTAAAAGTTAGGCTTGCTTTTGAATTACTTTCTTTGGACCTGCCTGAAGTAATGCACAGACCCAAAGAAGTCTATGTTGAAAACTAATTGCTTGAATCATGTTCAGATTTGAAAGGTGGCGATCATTTACATAAAGATGGCCGTGCCCATTCCTGCAGTGTAGCACATCTGGGTGTTGCCACTCTGTGGGTTGTATTCTTGTTGCCTCCCGTTACCTTTTCCTCTAGTTTGATACCGGGTGTTATGTGGAGGATCACAGCATTGCTTTAAAAGCAACCGATTTTGCAGTCCAGGCGACTACTGTGCATGGCAATGCTGGAGAAATTGGCAGGGGGATAGGTGGAGGGAATCACTGAAGGTCTTCTGCGTCCATAGGAGGCGTGTTAAAGAGCTGGCTGCTTTCACAGCTCCCGTGAGGTGTCTCTGCCCACACAGTGCTTGGCGGTTTCACAAATTACAGCGTACAACAAATAACTCTCTTCACCTGTATACTGACACCTATCATAAGCAGCCCAAATGATAGATAAATGAGTTGACATCAGCAGTAAATGGCTTTGGGCAGGCAAGGTTTGATCCAAATGACTGCAGTGAGCAGGTGCTCTTCAGAACTGGATTCTACTGCATCTCCATTTGTAAATGCCTTGTGGTTTCTTGTGCTTTCCTAAACAGGTAACAAAAGTGATTGGGCTTTGAGTGATTCGCTTCCTCTCTTTCTATCCTTATTTTTACTGAATATGATTCGTTGCTGAGCTTTCCTGTACTCCCATTTCCTTTGTTTTCCCCCTGAACTGCAGTCTCCCCATAATTTAGTAGCACAACTGAGCTTACCAAGAAGGTGGACACGGAGCTACCTCTGTTCCCAGAGAAGTGGTTACAGTGTGGGGACCACATGAACTGCAACTCTGTAGGCTCTGTGCAAGAGGCTTACCTGCATGGCAGCTATGAAGACCTTTCTCTTTGAAATATCTTGAAAAACACTTAATGTCTTTGATAAAAATAAGATGTTTAAAAGGTAATGACTATAATTAGGGGCTATATATATCCTGGATATTTATACCAGAACTAATGAACTATTACTGAAATGTGCCTCCCTCCCTTTGAAAACCAGGATGATGTAGCTTAGTGTGATAGAAGTTGTTATGTTGTTTCTTCTTTGTTTCAACACTTTATAGCTGTAAAAAGGCTTAGGCTTAGACACTGAAAGGGATAATATGTCTCAATTTCCCTTTTGTTCCATGAAAAAATGAATGGGTAATTATTTGTAAGGGCCTCAGCCATACAAAATCTCTAACAGGTATTTTGGAAGCAGTACTTATTCAGAGGTACACAGTATTTATTCAGTGTTGATCTAACTATATTTCTGTTTAAAGTAGTAGATGATCAATTATTTCAGCGGAGCTGAGTATTTAAATGAATATTTAAAATATTCTACTGTAAAACACATTATGGCATTTACATGCACTGTTCAAAATGAAAAAAAGTTCATACTCAAACTGGGAAAGAAAACTATGAATATTGCTTCTGGTTTTATTTAGTCAAAAGAAAGTGAAAAGAAAAAACAACATTGACATGTTACAACAACTTCTGTGGAGCTACTGTCTCCTACTGAATTACCATTCAGATTAAATCCTTCATATTATCCAGTTTTTATTAATGTCTGTCATTGCAGCTTCCCATTCCAGCTTGGTAGGTTTCTCATATTCACCATTCTTTCTCTGAACAGATGCTTTGCTAGATCTGTAAGTTTTTTTTCCTTTGTGCTCTAGCACTTTGTTGTCTAGATGTTCACAAATACACAGCTTTTTCAAAGCTGATTGTATACTTAATAGAGATTTATAATTGTTCTGTTCTTTAAATCGTTCCAGTCTTTCCACTTTCTCAGCAGACACCAGTATTGTTTTCCTTAAGGAGCGCGGGTGGTCTGAGTTGGGCTGAGTTTATGTAAGAAAATATCATACAAGGGAGTTTATTTAGGGAGGAGTCCATAACCAGACAGTCTTTGAAGAGCAGCCAGAGGGTAAACTGGCTCACTCATGGGGAATTCTTCATAATTTAAACACCACCAGTCTCCTTTGTGCAGGTGAATTTCTGAGCAGAGCAAAATGACTAATGTAATTTGTGTTTCCAGTGCCACTAAGGAAGCCTCTGATCCCCGAAGCTTGAAGTTCTCATTGCTTTTTTGTGCCTCCCTGGTCCTGCTATGAAGAGCACATGAGCAGGGAAGGAAAAGGCTTTGGGAAATAGGAGTCTGTATGTCTCACCCCGTCAGTTCCATTCATGGATCCATGCAAGGAACAGCTGTTGGGTATTTGCATGGAGGGACCTCACTCTGGGTCAGAAGAGGATGTTTTCATGGCTCTTTCCTGTTTTGCAGGTTTTTAAGACAGGAACATACATTATGCCCAGGGCAGGTATTTTAACCCATTTATGGGTGCCTGAAGAGGAGGTATTAAATGCAAACAAAGCAGGTGCCATACACTGGCCACCATGTTGGGTGACTGTTTTACTACTGATTCATCCAAGTCATCCAGGGAACTGAGTGGGTTTTCGGTCTGGTCTCAGATCCTGATGAACCTGTACGACACCCTGAGTGCCACGGGGACATGCACACCTCAAGCATCACACTGGTCCCAAAAGCTCTTCAGGTCAGAAGCAGTTTATAACGGTTGGCACGTTCAGGTTTCAAACAATGCTGTGTTCTCTGTGCTGGCGCTGCTGCAGGATGGGGCAAGGCTCTGTCCTTGCTGTGAAAGGGCAGCAAGAGGGAAAGTGAAATACACTGGGAGGATTAGGCTTTCTTAGGGAATCTTAGTGCCTTTGACAATCTCCTTCTCTGGTAGCTTGCCCAAAGTTAAATAGTAATTATTTATTTACCTAATGATGGTCTGTATATGGAACCTGGTGAATCTTTAGTGTGCCCCTCTGCCTCAAAAAGATGAGAATGAATGTCATTTACAGTGACTGTGTTGTAGATAACTGAAGATATGAGTTAATGGTGCCCTTGCAAGAGAGCAATTGAAAATATTTTTAGGGCAAAGCATACTGTTAGGACTTGTCTTTAGTTCTATTTAACCCTTGAGAAATCGTACAGTATTTTTGGCGACCAGTTACCAGTGGTAAAGGATCCAATTACCCATGAGACCCATAACAGATTAAGCAGAAGAATTCAGTTTCTGCTCCAAGATCTTACACTCTTGGATTCTGGTTGCAGGATTGCTCTGTTTTCTGTGACCTTGTGAGTACATCTTGACACTGCTGTTAATCGATATGGGTTGTGGTAACTTTTTGTCATAAAAGGAGAGGAGTTTTAGTTTGTTACTCATTTTGCCTCATGGGGGCCTTTTGAATACAGGTAACTGGTTTCCCTCTCCTCCTTCAGTATTTTAAAAGTCAGGTAGTTCAAGTGATAAATATGTAGGCAGCAACCTCAGCAGTTTTGACATTGGATTATGCTGAAGCAAAAATGATGGCTACAGGACAGAAAAGCCCCAAACAAATCAATTGTCATAGTGTCAAAGCTGACCATTATACTTGGGAACATAGATTTCTTAGAGATCTCGAATACTTGGTGTTGATAAGAAACAGCTCAATTAATGTCATCATGCAGACTGACATCTGTGTACATTTATACTTAGAAGAATGATGTGCTTTGTAAAGCTCACACATTGAAGAATCAGTGAGGGATTGCAGTTGTACCCAAATCAGAAAGTCATACATTAGCATTAGTAATTAGTAATAGCATCAAAATGCTCTATATTTTCATTTTCCTTGTAGTTCTGGTAATTGAGCTTGGATCTTGCTAAGGAAATACAGATGCTGCTCTGTTGCCATCAGATTCATTAAGAACAAAATAATAACCAGAGGCTTGTAAGCTCAGAAAATGTGGCATGGGGCTGGAAGGCAGGTGTTACTAGGGACCCATGAATACCCTCTAAGTATCAGCTGTTGGCTTGTTAATTTATAAATTATAAATCTCTTAATTATACAATTAGCTCTGAAAAATTGTGCTTACAGTTTTTAGCTCGATGTACAGCGTTGCTTGACACAGATAGGATTTGCCTTACAATGTAGGAAGACAAGCAAACCTAAGTACCATGCTACCTTCTTGGTAGTTTGAAAGCTGTTATGCTGCGGTTCAAGTCCTCTTATGTTTTCTAGGGTGCACAAAGAGCTCATAACCTCTTTTGAAGAGTTTCCTGGTGATACAGCATTACAGTGGCTGATGAGAAAGTGCCTTTTTTCCTTCCCCCCCCCACCCCAATGTAACACTGATATGGTGTCCATGCGTAAACTAAAGGTCAATGAGATATACATGAGGCAGAAGTTTCCTGGACATCTTTGAGTTGTGCAAAAGCCACAGCTTTTTGGTAGTGTGTTCCCCTGCTGAGCAGGAAGATCATTTTCCCAATAAGCTGTGCTTTGTTTTCTCTTATATGGAGGGACACTGTCACGGCTGTCCCCTAGGCTTCCTGCAGGTCTGCAGCTGGCCACTTAAGATCCTGTTTCCCCATCTAAAGGATGGAGAGGTTTGGAGAAAGAGTGCCTTGCACCTTGGTGGGGCAGTCAAACTGAAGGTTCACTTGACTGCTGCAGGGAGGGAGCTGTAGAGCTGGTGGCACTCAGGGCTGACCTCCAAACCTGGTAGGTCTCTCCGGGAGGATGGCCAGGAGGTCGAGTTGTCCTCCTGAAGAACTCTGATGTGAGTTGGTGGTGGCTCCAAGTTTCTTCCAAGCCAGGCTGAATTTGCAAAGCTCAGATGTAGTGGTATCATTGATGCTTAAAGACATATGCCTTTGTACTTGTAGGAACCAGTGATGGCTTTTCCATTCAGCTGTCAGTTAGAGGGGCTCATCTGAGTGGTGGAAACATGGATTTACACTGTAACCGCTTCATATTTTGAAAAGGCGGGTGACGGCTGCCAAGGCTGGGGTGAGATGGACTGGGGAAGGGAGGATATGGCTGCCACAGTTTTCCATTACCCACTTGTAGTGGTGGACATCCAAGCAGCTGGGCAGCCAGAGGGGTAGGAGGCCTTTCTTGGCCCTCAGCACAGGGATCACAACTTCAGTTTATGTCTCCCTTTGTCCTCTGCCCTCTTGCATTCAGTGCAATAATGCAGAAACTGAGAAATACAGTCCCTGGATATCTAGGAAACTCTGAATTGCTTGACTTAGCTATGAATTTGGGTGGTGTGGTTTTGTGCACGGAGTGCCTTTTATTGCTGCTGTGTTTTTACAGTCCTACCAATGGGTAGCTATTGTTCTGTTTTGTTTATTGAATTTCTTTGTCGTTTCTGGTCTTGTTTTTCCCCTCACTCAGGATTTGATCCAGGAAATAAGTGAATTGCGGTTGAGAGTGGGAGAAATGGACAATGAAAGACTTCAGTATGAGAAAAAACTGAAAACAACCAAAGTAAGTGAAGAAGCAGAGGTGGGTGTAAGTCAGGCTTTTTAGAAGTTTGCTCTCTTTTCCTCGATCCTTGCCTGCACCCTTGAGCACTCTCAAGCCCAGGAGTTTCATGGTACTCGCTTAGCAACAAGGGTTGTTTCCAAATTTCATGCTATAGCTTTCAGATCTGGGCATTGTTTTTATGAAGGATAACTTACCATGTAGCTGGCTGTTAACAGTAAATTTATTACCTGTTTAGACCCTTGTTTCACCTATGTGTTCAAGAAACACAGTTACAATACATAAGGCATGTGGCATAGGTGAGACCAAAGCTGAGCATTTGTTTTCTCCTAAATGTGCTAAAAATCAGCCACTTCTGAAGAGAAAGCATTCACTTAATTCTAGCAACCTGTTTCTGCAAGTGTCTAACTTCTCTTTGCCATTTAGCTTTGTCTCTTTTCTATCTTTAGTTTTCTCTCACTCCTCTGTCTCTGTTACCAGTCTTTAATGGCCAAACTTTCTAGTATGAAAATCAAAGTGGGTCAGATGCAATATGAAAAGCAGCGGATGGAGCAAAAAAGCCAGATGCTAAAGGTGTGGTAGTTTCTGGATAACATTGGGCCTGTTTTGAATTCTTCATGTTCTGCCATTTTATGGTCTGTCTTGCATCGTTCTGTCATACTCTGTTCTTCATTAATTGCTGTGTGTTGATATGCAATGCACCCTTTCCCATTAGATGTGGAAAGCTCTTTATTTAGATAGTCCTTGTAAACAGTTTTTATATTGGATGGGAGAGGATTTTAGTGTTGTGAACTTTTCATAGGTTACACATAATGGAATTAGACTTGGGTTAAAATCGTTCCCCTTCCAAGGGAAGATTGCCTCTTCTGTAGCTTACGTCCGTTATTCAAACAGAACTTTTCCTCACTTTTTAAGAGAAAATTTATTCATGAAAGCTAGCTAGAAAATAGTGATTCTTTTATACTGTCCCCTCTCCCATGTGTAAATTTACATATCCTGTTTCTGATTCAGGGGAAGAAATACACATCAACAACCACATGCCATTCTAGTTGCCCATGGGCATAACAGCAGCTTCTCAAGTGACCAGGAGATGGTCTTGTTTTGGAGAAGCATGGGTCCTACTCTGGCGGAAATCCCATCAAAATTAGTACCAAGTTGGAACACTGGAGGATTGTATTGCCCAACCACTGTTCTGGAAGAAGCTTTGATTTCTTGACAGTTTTAAAATTGATATATTTTTTAATGATGCTGTAGAGTAAACAGAAACCAATTTCAGAAAATTCTGTAGTCTGAGCCATAGTTTGGGTCACAGACATCACGATATATTTGCAACAGATCTTTTGAGGGAAGCTCGGGAATATACTTAAGGCACAGTATTCTGGTTCGGTTTATTCTTTCAAGGATTTAAAACCTCAGTTAGAAGCTGTAAATGCCAAAATTACAAGTCTTGCCTTGTTTTGTTTTGTTTACAAATGGAACAAATTAAATTTTCAGTGTTGGGTAAATTTGTAGTGAGGGTCCTGTCTTGATGATGCTGTTGCACAAGATACCCTCGGACATCAAAGAAACATGTTATTAAACTGGGTGGGATTTGACTCAAATTTTAAAAAGTTAAATGCATGGATCCGTGCCAGTCACTTGCTAGTGTGCAGATGGTTAGATCTAAGTTAAAATTTGACAGCATTTATCTAATACACCCCAACTCCCCCAAACACCATCTGTCTTATTCCCACGAATCTCAACTCTAAGCTTCCTTTCCTAATGCTTGATCAGCAAACGCAAACTGTGGCAGAGGTACCACATTTTTGTCTGAACTGCTTTCCAGTATGTGTTTATGTGCTTGATGGTGTCGTGATTGATTTTTCTTTCATAGAAGCAGTGGTTATTTCTTAAACTGTCCTCAGCCTGGTGTAAGCACAGTTCCATAATTGTCCAGCTTTGAACATGCAAAATACCCTATAAATACCAAAATAAGTGTTCATAAATTTTAACATTCAGTGTCATCACCTGCACTTTTTATGTCTCTGCAAGGTTAAATAAATATGAAAACTGCTTGTTTTGCTTTACTCTTTCTTTTTTAAATTTAGATGTAAAATCTCTTTCAATTATACATGAGACCAACACTTTCAGACCATAGACCCCCTGGTTTTGCCCCCTTATGGACTCAGCAGTCTGTTGTGATGTTCAGAGTCAGTTTGGTGGGTGTACCCTCAGCCAATGTCAATGTCAGGGGGCCCTCAGTCGTTTCCACCAGTTGAGGACCTGTCCACTGTGCTTCATAGGAGGGGATTTTAGAAACGTCTCAAATGCGTGTGGAAGCTGTCACTGAGCGATTCTTTGTCTGTTACAGGATGAACTAGCAGCCTTGAAAGACAAACTAGAGCAGAAGGAAGCTGAAGTAAAAAGGCTGCAAGAAAAATTGGTTTGCAAGCTGAAAGGAGAAGGAATTGAAATACTGGACAGAGGTAAGAAGAAGGGAGGCTCTGTCATCATGTCCTCCTCAGTCACCTCATCTGAGACCATGTTTCCATGAATGGTTGTACAGGAAATAACAGAGAAAAGCCTCAGTTTTCATACACTTTCTGTCTTCATGTTTACTTCTTTTAATATATTTAGTGGGTGTTCACGATGCAACTGCTGGACCTGCTGTCATAGCAAGTTCTTGATCAACTTTGAACTAGCCTAAGTAATCCCTAGTTAGTTCTTTACGTGGCTTGCATGGTGCCTGAGAAGATGCAGTTTACATTGGCGAAGAAATCCTTAAACTAATTTCAACAAGTTCCATAAAAAGATTGTATTGAGAAGGGAACTTTGTGTGTGGGTATCTGTGCTGGGGCTTGTACACCCCTTCCTGGTAAGGAAGGGGAAAAGCCGTACTACAGACCAAAGTATGATGTGTACCAGCAAATCTTTGGCATGGACCAAGCCTTAAGTAGGTGAAATTGAGGACTGGTTCTGGATTTGTGCAGTAGTTAAGCCTAAATCCTAATTAAGGTTGAATTAGCACAGAAATTTTCCATGTGAGATAATTCTTTTATTTGCTTGCGAAGAAGAAACAAAATCAGTTTATTTGAGGGAAACTTAGATTTGGGAACTTACTCGAAAATAGACATTTTTCTTTAAAGCCTCACAAAAATTTTCCACAGACTTTTATGACCTGCTGCAATTTCAATTCTGAATATATCTCACTGATAGTTATTGCTGATTTTAAGATTGTGCTTTTAAAGTATGTTTTTTAGAAAAATAAAGCCACAGGAGATTAATTAATTAGTCTCCTCCCCTGACCTGAGGGGGAAAATGCTGTGTGAGGATTGTCACATTTTAGTAAATAAAATTACTTGTTTTCAAAACCACTGCATAAGATCACTAAAAGTCACCGCATTGAGCCATGATTCCTTTTTTTTTTTTTTAAGAACACTGAAATGTGAACAAGGTCTGATTTTATTGCATTTATGACTACTTATATGGGGCTTTTCTTCCTGGGGGCTGCTATGTACACTGAACTCCCATTACCCTCTGGTTCTTAGCTTTAGTTTAGTTTTCAGTATAGCTCGGCAGATCATCTGCGATGGTGAACTATGGTTTCTCTGCCTTGGACCAATATTAAGTAATGCTGTTTGCAGATAACACAGGTTATCTGCCTCCTTAGTGAATGGTGCTTTCTGAACAAATATGTATATATTATCACTTAGCTGGCTTTTGCCAGTAGCTTAAGAGTAATCTATTGGCAGAATTTTTTTCTGAGGCCTTCCAAGTGAAAACATGCAGTTGAAAAATACATCCTGGAGACAGGCAGTGTGAGAGCCCTGAGACTATTTTGTGTCATTAGGAATGTTAGCACCGGGGGACTGCAGGTTGAAACCGTGAACTGCTTGCTTCTGCAATAGTACATGAGGAATAGTTGACCCCTAAAGTATCAGTATTGTCTTAGAAGTTATTTAATGTCATAACCTTCATGCTAATTTCAAATCCAATGGATTTTCCTGCACAGATGAAAATTGTAAAAAGAAGCTCAAAGATAAAAGTAAGGTTTATGGTGTCTTTCCACAAGCATTTGCATTTCAGAATTGCTTTCCAGAATAGCTTTCTGCATGTGTTTGCAAAACCACTTTAACAAACATTGTTAGGTTGCATCATCTATAACCCTTAGTTACCCTTAGAGTAAAATTTGAGAATAAGGGTGGATATATCATACTTGAAATACAAAGTTTTCTGAAGAAAAACTGATAGTCAAAGATTTGGTCTCATGGAGATTCACAAAACAGTTGCCTCTCAATGAAATGCAGTCACAATCCAGTAAACCGGATTTTCAGTTAGCATAACTGAGTGAAAGTCATTGGAACTGGATCAGTTGCTGTTTTAGCCCAGTGTGTCTAAATGTCTTTCATCTAGAAGGCCAGCTGGGCAGCATGTTTTCTTCTTGCATTTCATTAAGGAGGAAAATGTTCTTCCAACTCTATTTGTTTTCTGATAAATTTTAGGAAGTTGAAACAAGGTAAAATGCTTTCTTGCCTGTGAATTTGGCCACCTGTGTATGTTTGTGACAAAATTTAAAGTTTACTTCATTTATGCAAGGTAGATTTTTAGCGAAAATGGAGATTATTTCCATTTTTTTTGTAATTTCTAGTCCAGAACACTTCCAGAATCCAACCGTGTTAGAACGCACACGTTTCCATGTATTTATACTTCTTTGTAAATAAGGATTATAGATGAAGCACAGAACACTGTCATCTGTATTAGGGACCTTTTCTGAGTCTGAACTACAATGTATATTCTAGCATGACTGCCCATCACAGCAAATACTTGTATCATTCCATTGTACTGTCCTCATTTCTACATCCATACTGAATTAAGACTAAGCATCACTGCACAATGCTTTCTTCATCGTATCCATTAATCCTATTGCTTTGTATAGTGGTTTTTTGAGATGCCATTTGGGGTGTTTATTGACTGTTGTAATGAGGATGTGTTTTATTGCACTTCAAATGTAGTATTTTATATTTTGGACTTTTTGTTTTGCGATTTTTGATTATTTGAAAGATAGAGATAGTGAAAGTCAAGCAGTAGTTTTACTCTTGACTTTTCCATTTTCCTATGGCCAGAGGAGTGGGTGAGGAAATTTCATGAATTTCATCATTTCCTTGATAAAAAAGTCCAAAAAAAGGTTTTGAAGAAAAAATGGGTTCCTTCTGTATATTTCCATCTAAAATAGAATTTAAGGGGCTTATATTTTGTCTTTTAATTTGTAAATTTACTTTCAGATACTACTGAGTTGCTTCTAAGTGGTGTGGTTTTTTTTATTTCCTTACATTGTCTTATTTAAATTGACATAGAGAACTGTATTGTGTTTTTAGATATAGAGGTACAGAAAATGAAGAAGGCGGTAGAATCCCTAATGGCAGCAAATGAAGAGAAGGTAGCGAAGTCATTATTTTTTCAGTAATCGTTCATCAGATTGAGTTAAATCTCTGAGAAAATCTTCACATATGAACTTTTAACAATTCAATTAAAAAATCGAATTTGTAAGAGTCAATGATTCACTGTAGTCAGAAGCACTGCAGTGCATTGAAGGGACTATAACTGAGCATTTATGAGCTCCGTTGCATGTATACAACATCCTTACATTGTTGTGTCATTCAATTCAGTGTGACTGCAATTTATACCATGTTCTGAAAATGTAAAGAGCTCCATACAAGTCTCATGAGATACCACAGCCTGCATTTCCAAAAGGGCTTTCTGTAAAGTATGAATTGTTTTCATGTATGGTTTTGCACATTCATATGCATATGTGTTTTGCAGGATGTTTACTTTTGATCACCAAAGCCCTAAATGCTTTGATTGCAGCTCTCTTTGTACATCGCAAATTTATTATACTCTACCTTTGACTTAACAAGGGAGCTGAAGTCTGCTTTCAAGGCTGGGACAATTCTGGTGATTAACAAGATGGCAGTTTTTGCTAAATACAAGTTTTGATATTTCAAAGCCTCTCAGAGTTCTGGGTCCTGTCCCATCCACCGTTCCCATTTCTTACAGTCTCACAACCAATTAAACTGAAGAATATCTAGTATTTGTATTTCTTATTTTTGATTTACTGAAGGAAGAAGCACAGTCACAACTTTCCTTTTTTTTAGGATCGAAAGATAGAAGAGCTTCGGCAATCTCTGAACAGATATAAGAAAGTTCAAGACATGGTGATATTGGCTCAAGGTAAAAAAGGTATTGTACAATCAAAAAAAATTAAACTCTCATTTAAAATCTAAGTGAATTGTGGTAGTGTTATATCAATTCTTAGATTTATTATCTTTGGGGGGATCTCTTAGGTAGAGTAAAAGCCAGTTCTTCAACTGGTGTGAACTGGTAAATTGCCTTTTTTGTCCAGGCAGCTGCACGTTTGGGTACTGTCCCATTTACCATCTGGTAGTGGTAACTATTATTGTCACATTGCTTATTTCCTCTTTGCAAAATCAGTTTGAATATGATAAGCTCTCAGGCTCTTTCCATAGCCTCCTGAAATGCCTTTCAGGGCTGGCTGCTACATTAACTGCTAAAAATTGCCGTTTCCCTCTCTTGCATGTATTCCTGGGGAGGGATTGGTAGCTGAGCGGAGCAGTGCCTGAGCGTGCACATTCCTACAAGCCAAACCAGCACCACGCCAGCGGCTGCGCCTGCTGTAATAGCGATGCCCGAGAGCTGCAAAAATGTCTGTCACAAAGTGGGTGTGCTGCCAGGACTGTGTTGCGATGACACGCCACGTCTTTGGCATGTAGTGAAGCCTTCACAAACCACCACATGCAGCAGCTGTGGAATAGTTCTCCTTCCTTACCACAGTGAGGGGCCAGGCTGACTTTTCTTACCAGTCTTTTTTCACACACACCCCCAAAAAAAGCCTTCTGTGCCACCAGATAATGAACTTAACTGTGTGGCTGGAATGGTAGCTATAACATAGACAGTGACATGTAACGGTCCATTTCATATGTTCCAAGACTGGTGGAGGTTTCTGGATCCAGGAGCTTCTGATCCCCAAAGGTGATAAATGTTGAGGTGGTTACCAGTTTGATGTAATTGTATTGAATACCCTGTCTCTCTCCTTCCTCCCTTAAAAGAAAGTCAAAAGAAACACCTGTAGAACATTACACTGAAATGGTTATGGGTTTTCAAGTGAAAACACGTAGATGTTAGAAAATGAGCATCTCCCTTTACAGCAATAATATTGGCCTGGTGGGTTTTTTCCCTGCATCAACCTGTTCTTTCAGCACTCAAGTTGCATTTTGTAGGTCATTGTCCTCTGGAAGACCTGTCCCCAATGAATTTTAGACATTAGCGTTCTGATAATGTATGCACGTATAATATATGCGCAACTTAAAAGTCTGCACTGCAGTGTTGTATTACCGCCTTATGGAAACCTCATTTGTCACTGAGTCCTCTAAAGGCCAGAGAAGGCCAACCCAGCCTTCCACAGACCTTGAATTGACCTGAGTTTCTTTGGGACAGACAAGGGCTTGTGGCTTTTGTTGGCCATGCAAATGCTGGAGGTGGATGGCCTTCTTAGGAGAGGGATGTAGGAGCCCTCAGGGATCCTTTCGAAGAGTGAAGATTGTCAATAGCCAGAATTTAGCAAGGAGGCAAAATAGCTATTTTTGTGGTGGTGTATTCACATTTGGGCTTTTGGATCTGCTGTCTTGGGCCAGGGCAGGAAAAGCAGAGGGCGGAGCCCCATCTGGACATGCTGCTGAGACTGGGGCTCAGACCCAGGGAAAAGAGAGGTTCCTGGTGCCCCTCTTGGCTTCTGCCTCGCTTTAGAGAAGCCATCTCAGTGGGAAGGCGGTGATTGCAGCAAGGAGAATCCTGTCTTCCACTCCTGAGGGTGCCAGCTGATTTGCAGGACTGCGTGAAAGCCCTCGACCACGGTCTCCAGCTGTCTGTCCTGCTCCCCCATGATGACTGCAGACCTGAGATGGGTGCAGCAGTGGGTTCAGGATGCAGCTTCTCTTTAGTCCAGCATCATGGACATAGGCCCAGATGGAGACTGGCATACACCAGAGCATGCTGGGCTGAGAACTGTCTGTGGGCTTTGGATCTTGGTATGTAAGGGCTTTTCTTTCCTCAAAACCGCTGAGGGGCACTAAGGACACAGCTGCATGTCTTCGATCTGCAAGGCTGGCAAAGAGCATTATCCGTGAGGGAAGAGGAAAGGTGGTGATGAGGGTAAAACACCTTGCTGAGTGTTGGAGAAGGGGAGTAGCATTTTTTGAATAGGTATTGGTCTTTCATGCAGTGCTACGCCTTCAAAGACAGGAGGATGTTAAAACTGGGATGTTAACTCTGGGAACTGTGCTATATGGTCAATTTGTGGAGCATGGACAGAGATTTCAGGCAGTGAAAAATGGGCAAAAGAAGTATTTGCTGTGAACAGACTTTGGCTTGTATTTGCATCAGATCTTTGGCAATCAGTGCTAGGTTTCCGATTTCTTTTTAGAAAGTATTGGTTGCCTTTACTGACACTGACAAGAAAAAGTTATTCTGGTATCAATGACAAGTGTGGAAATCCAAGCCTTTTGGTAGTACTGAGGCAGTTCAGGAGCAGCAAGTCGCTCGCTGGGAGCAGAGGATATCAGATGCTGGGGCGCGCTACAGCCTTAACTAAATGAAACACACTCAGTTTGTGGTAGTCTGCAAACATAATGTAGTCACTTAAAAACTGGTGTTAGACTCTTGTGCAGTGGGCTGCATTTTTCCTATGGGTAACTTGAAGGTGCCATAGAGACATCTTAAGTTTCAGGCAGACATGACCCCCTGGTCTTTGCCTAGTAAATAAGGGAAAAGTATTTAATATGAAATTCCAGAACATGGGAAAGGAAATAACTACTCCAGTTTATTCAGCTTGTTAAAACTGATCCCACTAAATGCCCTGAGGGCATTTGCTGGGCTTTTTCCAGTCAGATGCATGTCCTCCCTCTGCTCCAACCCTGCTATATTGCAGAGAATTGGGAAGTGATGTTTGGCAGTGACTCCCCTTCTATTGTAGTCCATCCTAAAAAAAAAAAATAAATCCTAGCCTCTTTCCTTTTTGGCCCATAAATGAGGATGCCGGCTGCAGCTTGTGTGAGAGTGAGGGACATCATGTATCCAGAAGTAAAGCCAACTAGTTTCCATCTTCTCTCCCTTCAGGCAAGGAAAGTGATGGTGAAGACTTCTTGAATTCAGGATCTGTTTCCACAGTTTTATTGGACACACCAAGTCTGACTGACCCAGAGAAAAGCTCATCCCCAACCCCAGTAACAGCATCTCCAATCCACGATGAGTTTAACGTGAATATTCATGAAGAGGTATCTTGTTTTCTTCCTAATCTAATGCCATCACTCCTTGAAAACATTGCTTGTGCTGGATTCATATTGCAGATGCCAAAACTCAAGTTTCTGAAAAGATTTTTTTTTCCCCTGAGTTGCACAGTTTTTAGTAATGTCCCATATCCTTTTGGAGAATGTAGTTTTCTTGTGAAATCTGCTGAGTAGTTTCATTTCAGTTCAGTTAAATTTATTTTTCTTAATCGTCAAATGGGATCAGGAGACAGCAAATAGCTGTATTTGTCATGAGAATGGGTCTAAACTACTTTTCCTATCAAGCATGGAAATTACTTGTCATATCAAACATGACTGTTTTAGGAGCTGCATTTAGTTTGTCAGGAACTTGAAGTAAACATGTTGGGACTTACTTGATATATCCTGTTGTATTTAAAAGGATGCAGTCATCATTACTTCCATTCAGTTAAATGATAAGTAGGTTGTGGTCCAATCTCTGATTTTTACAATCATGTTTTCCAGTAATAAAACTATAGATCTCTTAAAGCTCTGAGTCAGAGCAGGGACTTGACTTACTTAACTAAACAGCATGAACACACTATGAAGAAAACTAAATTAAATTAAACATTTAGCAGCTTTTTGGTATTCTCTTGAGTGGCAGAGGACAGCAGTAAACCTGAAGAGAACTACCCTTTATGTGGTCTGTGGTAGAGATAGATTTAGCAGGCAGCTTTGGGAGACTTGTGGGATTTTTGTCTATGCTGTAGCTTATCTGTGTAGTGATTCATGTTTTATCTTCAATGCCATCTTTCAAGTAGTAAATCATTGTATTACGGTAGAAAGAAAGAAAAAATTGCTTTTAAAAATCTTATTTCAGATCCCTCTTTTCATAGTTTATCTGTTACTCTTTTTTCATTTATGACTGCGTAATTTCAGCTTAAAACAGTGCAAGATGTATTCTTCATTCTTTTTAGAATTCCTTACAGATCCACACCAGTATTTTACAGATTTCAATCCCTTCTTTTTCATCAACATCCAAGAGCTCAGAAACTGTTGCAGAGAAAGTGAAAACACAGCCTAGGCCAGATCCTGCAAGTGAAATAAGGTATTATTGTTTCCATGTATTTTTCAATTGTAAATCCAATATTCTGTGATGTTTAGTGAGAGTAATAATCTGTCAGTTACTGTATTGTCAAGTCATTAAGTCAGTTAAACAAGGCTAGCATTCATTTGACTAGCTATATAGCAAACTAAGCTTATGTTCGTGACGTGCATCAATTAAATCTCTTTCAGAAAGCAAGTATTAGTTTGGTTGCTGTTGCTTGTAGCAGCACTCATACTCTATACCATCTGCTTCGCAAAAAATGAACAGAAGGAGAGAAAAACTGATCTAATGTAATGAAGGACACAGAATCATTATTTTTATCTAGGTTTACATCATCTAGGTCTGGCTGAGATAGTATTGACTGTGCTAGCACAAATTACTGATGATTTGCATTTGGATATTTTCCACAGTTGCTAAAGATTGGTGTAAGGCACTGCTAAAAGTGGAACAAAAGGACTGTCCAGCTCTAACCTTGAGCTGTTAATGGAGCCCCAGAAGGAAATCCAAGTGGCGTTTCAAAAGATCAGAGAAGGAGATATTCTTGCTGCTGTCCTTTAGCATGATAGAATGCAAAGATGTTTCGTCACTTGCTCCTATGAGAGCCCTGCCTGAGATTTTGAAAGCTGGATGAAATGTGTAGGCACAGGGTCCCAGGGAAGCCAGGGTGGGGATGCGTGGCTGCATCCTGGGGCTGTGGCTGAGCTGTCGCACTGTCGCACCCAGGGGTCCCCATGCTTGAACCCCGTGCCAGCCTCCTGGGTGAGAAGTGGCCGTTGGCTTCCTCTAGCATTTCTAAGCCTGCACCCTCCTTGCCTAGGTGAGGAAAACTAGCCCCTGCAGATCTGGACTGGCACTGCAGAGAGTACTGAAAAGCACACCAGACTTCCAGCTAGACAAAGGCTGTGGTAGGGTTTTTTCTTCTGGGTCCAAATCGCTGACTTTGTCTAAATGAGGATCAAATACTAAGAATCCAGAGGAAAGGAAATCTTGTTAGCTTAAAACTGTCATCAATCTCGATGTGCAAGCACAAGTTGATGTGTGATTTTTCCAGTTCAGTCAAGGAAAGCATCCTATCCAGGAGACCAGCTTTGCTTGGTTTCTGCTGTGCTGTGCCTCATGCAGCTCTAGCCATCACCAGCAGGGCTTTCATCTGTGTCCAGTTTGGGGAAAAAACAAAGCACCAACCTGCAGCAAAATCCCCTGCGCTGTGGGTGACTCACAGGGAGCCGGTGACCTCCACTTCTTGGTGCTGCTGCAAACCCTGCACGTGCTGTAACCTCTGCGTTTATTTCAGCTGAAGACTGCAGTATTATCGTCAACTTACAGCACGAGTTGTCTTTCCTGGGGCTCTTGAGCTCACCTTTGTCCTTTTATCTTTTACAAGACTTGCAACTGTAGAGGGAAAATTTGCCACGTGTTAGTACCGTAGCAGCTGAAGTGAAAACAGGATTAAAGCAGGCTGAGACGATAGGATTTCTGTATCAGCAAGGTATTTGGATGAGATCCCCAAATGCCTTCCTTTTTTCATATCTTTTTTGGTTTTACAGTGAAGGAAGATCAACAGGTTCCTCCCCAGAAACTCAGCTGTGTGATAGTCCAGTGTAAGTATAATAATCAAAAGCGTTTAGGAAACATATTTATATGTGATTGTTGACTTGAAACCCACCCCAACACACCCGTCATATTTTACATACATGTGTAAATATGTCAGCTAATTCTAGCCAAGATGATATTTAGTGGTGGTGGTTTTCTGCTAATGTCCTATGTTTTCATGATCATTATTTTTCAATACTTTATCTGTGCACGTGTACAGTTAATTTCTTTTACCTTGTGAAGCATCTCTAACTGTGTTGTAGACTGTCAATACACTTTGAAATTTACAGTTTTCTGTAGTACGTGTGCATATGATTTACTTTTTTCTTTTGATAGTGGGGGAAAAGTGATCAGCTGACTACAATGAAAAAATAATTTTAATTTCTGCCACATAGCCGTATTCCCTAGGGATATCGGTGGAACTATTCATGAACTGAAAGCTGAGTCAACAATTTGTTAGTAAGGACCCTAAGTCAATAGGGTCTGTCTGGTGCACAGTGTGAGGCTCAGCAGCTGTTTTTATTTCAAGTGACTTGGTGCCACGAGAATATTCCCAAAGCTAAATTCTACTCCCCTTATGTTGGTATAAAGATACGTAACTTTGTAAAATGCATTGAAGTTACTCTTAATTTGTACTTTGTTGCAGGAAAAACTTTAATGGTAACTGTCTTTTCAACTAGACTTAAGTGTTCTAGACTGTAAATCCCACCAGAAGTTGGGGCATATCTGGTCCGAAATGGAAAATGGAACTGAAGATAAAATACTAAAACGCACATGCTTGACTTAATATGCATGGCTTCTTTAAGGATTAAATTAGTCAGAAGCCTGTTGCTAAAAATACTGGTTTTCATAGCTTTTGTTTATATCGCTTCCTTTGCCTGTGTAGCTTCTGCTTATGCTTCTGAAAATATAACGTTAAATAAGAAGGCAAAAATATCTGAAGGTAGGTATCATGTCACTGAAGCATTAGCAGCGGTAATTACAATGTGGACGTTCTTACAGTATCTCATCAAATTGTGTGGGCTCCAATTAGTGCATTGATTGCCTTAATTCAAAATGTCTTTGTTTTTAGTATTTGTCGTCATGTATTGTAATGCTTTCTTTAAAGCTCATTCCTGAGAGTATGTTTAACTTAGCAAATTTAATTCCAGTAACTTGGCTTGGTTTTTATGTTGTTGTTTCAGAAGTTATTCGCTGCAGAAGTCTAGCAGTCTGAGCAGTTTGAGAAAAGAGACGTCTGAAGCGGTTGGTTTGATCTCTTACTTCCTCCCATCCCCTTAGAAATAGGGGTGACATCTCTGTTGTGGTAGTGACCTCATGGATGCTCTGTTGCTGCCTTCTCAGAAATTCTGAGTCAGAGTAGGGCTCCTCATGTCATGTGTTAGCAATGGTCACATACATGTGACATCTTCCAGATTTTATTAAAGGAGAAAATCTGTCTTTGAAAGTGACAACACAGACCTTTTTTTTTTTTTTTTTTTCCACATGAGGTGTTTACCTGAGACTTTCTTGCTGTGTCTTGGCTCAAATAATGAGGTTAGGGTTTTTTTTTCAGTTGATACACTTTTCTGATTTAAGACAGGAAGAAAGTAAGTCTCACTACTACTTCCTACCTATGGTTAAGGTGAATAATTTTGGAAGGCCATGTAATTAATGCATTATAAAATACAGTATGGGGTGACTACATGTTTTAGGTGATCGGGAACAAAATACTGAGCTTGTGTATGGCTGGTGATAGCTTCAGTTTAGGTCTCTTTTGAAGTGACCAAAAGCAGCGAGCCTCTAACAATGTCATCAAATCAGGGCAATTCCTGTGCTCTTTTTTTCACAGCCTAAACTCCTAAAAGCTCCTGAGTTCCCTGATACCCAAACCGTTGAGCTGTGCCTTACAGCTCAGGAGGGATGTTGACAGGACTGAAAATGTAACCAGAACTTGATGATGAGAGCTAGAGTTCATGGCTTAGGGGTTTTTCTTCATTCGTTTTGACAGCCAAGGAGTGGAGGCTGTGAACGTTTTATCTACTTGGCTTCTACCCTGATTCGTGCTTTGGGTCCCCTCAACCAGCTGTGCCCATCAGTGCCTTAACAGACTGCATGTCGCTAATTATGTACACAGCTAATCCGTTACAAAGTAAACCGAAGCAACCATATTTTCATGTCAGCTCACTGACCTCAAAGAAAGCAAGAATTAATCTGTGTGAAATACAGCTCTGAAGAGATTTATTTTGAGGGGAAACAAATAGGCAGGGAAAGATATTTCAGTCAGAATTTAACTCGGGGTAACTATAATCAATTGAATACTGGCTATAAACCATGACTTTTTAAATGTCTGTCTTAATCTTTCCCAAATAGGACAGAGACTCTGCACAGAAGCCAACAGAGGTAACGTGTTTGTGTGTGCTCATGCATGTATATGGAGAAACACAGACAGTGCGCAGGTGTCGAAAGGCTCAGTTGTGTGAAATTGTGGCATGCAGTTCCAGAGGGGGAATAGCGGACCTGCAGACAAGATAGCGAGGAGTATATGATGGATGTCACCATCACTTCAGCATTGGCTTGTAGTGTCTCGCATGTCCTTGTCTTCTCACGCATAGATTATCTTCCAGTCTGGTTAAGCATAAGGTTGCCATCTTAAGCTAATGTTTTCCCCACATATTCTACCACTAGATAAATTAGCAAAACTAACCAATAAGTATTTTACTGACTCTGTAATTACTTTTGATTAGTGTCTCTTTAAAAACATTTGGCTTCCCAGATTGTTTTCTCTGAGTAGCAATTGTGTTCCTAAAAAGACCAGTTACCCTGTGGTACCGTATGGCCATAGTTTGCATGCAACAATTATTACCTATAGGAAGACCTGAGCAGAGATGACCTACCTCAGATACCACTTGTAGGGGGAATGCTGTATTGATTCAGGAAAAGTCAAAGGATCGTATTTGGAATGTGAATGGGTTTACTTCCTTCTTCTTTAAAGAGACAGTGAAACAACCAGCAAGGTTAAATCTGCTGCTTTAAATTCGTTAACTAGTGTGCCTGATGTCTGTGCTGGCATTTATTCTCCTTGCTTGATACTTAATTTCCTCTTAGCTTTGACAGTACACATAGTTAATTAATCCATTAATTCTGAAATCGCAGGGCAGTGATAGACAAAAAGAGCAGTCTGATACTTGGCAGAGAACCAATATACTGTGGGGGTCTTGTCTCTCAGTTTACTTCCCGCTGCCCCTACGGCTTCCAGTGAGTGAGACAGAAACCCTGGAAAGCTGGAAAAGTTCAAAACCTTCCAGGACTCTATTTTTACCTTTTCCATACCTATAAGCCGGTCTTCCAGAAATTGAGAAACATCTTAAAGAAGACATGTTACTCTTAGAAGTTAGTGATTGTAATCCTGGGTCCTGAACATACTTAAATTCTTGTTTGTGTTTTTCTTTATGGATTTACATTCTGTTTTCTTGTAGTAACAAATGAGAGGGACTTTCCAGATTATCTGTCAGCAGTCACTTTGCAGTCTCTCTCAAAGGGCCTTTTGCAATTCACTGATACCTAATATTTCTTGCCCTAAATTGAGCAGGTTAAACCTTCTGTGGAAGGTAATAATTTCGCAACCCTCCCTCCAAAGTCTCCTTCTCATGGTGGCACAGGCGACGACGATAGTTTTGGTACCCGTAAAGCCAGATCTTCATTTGGACGAGGCTTTTTCAAGATAAAAAATAACAAGAGGACCGCGAGTGCCCCCAATTTAGGTAGGTATCATGCACCTGCATGCAGATTCTGTGTATTCTGAAGCATCTTAACAACAGCTGTAATTGTCTAAAGAAGCAGGAAGACCAGCCTTAGGCAGGAAATGCCACTGTGACTTGGTGGCACTTTGCTCAGTAGAATGTTGGGAAAATATCAAACTGCAACAAAAATAAACCAGAAAAAAATCTCACTGATGTGATGAAGTATTTGATCTGTTTCAGCCTCTGCTGTGATATCTCCCCTGGGACCTTGTAGTGGATTGCTGCTGGTTTGATGTTTAGCTCTGTCTTTCAGAATCCTGAAGGGGAATAACCTGTGCTTTGTTGAGCAGAAGAGTCTCCTGTTCTTATGTACTCAAAGACAATTTTAGATGCTTGTTTAAAAGAAATAACATACCTACACATGTATTGTACGTTGCCTATATTTGCCTGTAGCATATAGCATGGGAACTTGCTATCTTACTTGGAATAGATGTACAGTCTGTTCTGAGGTTAGACTCTTTGCTTTGGTTTATTTCATGTGTGCTTTTGTGTAATCACTTGTTGTATCCTGAAGTTAATTTGTCTAACAAAGTGGAGTATTTGTGGCTGTTGTAAAAGATTGGCAGATGGGCCATCTAGATCAGGGTCCTGTGAATTTGACTAAGTTATTTATGTTACCCAGATTTCAGTGCTTCCATCTGTAAAGCTGATATCCAGATACTTGCCACCTCATGGGAGCCCGTGTGAGTCACCTGCCCAATGTGTCATGGAGCAAGTGACCTCCCTGCACCGAAGTGGCTGCGGTGCTGTTTTACCCTCTCCACCACAGAGCTCTACTGCATTTCTTTTTTTGTGAGAGGAGGATTAACAGTGAATTGGTAATCCTAATCTCTGTGTGAATTCAGCATTGCGTGTGGCGCATGTGTCTCATGTACCTCCCTCTTTTTGTCTTGTATTTTGCTGACGTATGTTTTGAACTGTGTTTTACCTTGTCCCTCTGCGTGTTCTCTCCCATTGTGCTGCGTGTGGTTATGTGCGTTGTTTGGATATCTGAAGATCGCAGTCGAAGTGCAAGTGCACCTACTTTAGGTATAGTAATCCTGCATGTCTGCCTATACCAGCGCTGTGTTGTGACTGCTGCTAACAGCTGGTTATGGCCACATTCTTTCCAAACAAGAGCTAGACACCACAGCTCTGCATCGAAACTCTTGCCCATCACTAAAAGGAGTTTTCATGTAACATCTGCCCTCTGCTAAAAGTCAGCTGCGCCGTTTCTCAGTAACTGCTACTAATGAGAGAGATTGCGGGTTAATTTGCAGAGACCTTTGCCGTAACTTTGAGCACAAAGTTACCCACAGACTGAGGTAGCAGGTGAGGATTGGTGATGTTTAAATACCGGAGGCACCTTTGTGCTGTCATCTGTCCTGGAGCCCCTGAAAGAACTTAAAGGGTAGCGAAGCAGGGAGTGAGGTGTATTTCCCAGGCATTCACTTTGGGGAGTTCTGGGGGAAAGGATATGTAATTGCTCTTCTAAGATGTAGTTATATTCACTAGATACTAAACAAATGAGAAATAATTGGGGCAGATGGGATGGAGCCATTCACATAGTAAAAATCAGTCTTGTGATGTGAGCTTTCCCTGGGTGGTTCTGGCAGGGGCAGGTAAGACCTGCAGGGTCCTGCCTTAGCAAGCAGAGCTGTGTCAGTCGGGGTGGTTGTACAGCCACCCGGTGTGCCCTTCGCTGACAAAGAGACCAAGTGTTCTGGGCTCTCTGTTTCCCATGTGGCCCCTTAAATGTTGGCTGTTCTACGGGGTTGTGTCCATGCATGAAAGGGAGCAAGGTACAAGGAGCAAACGTTGCAATACCCGCAAATCTCTCCTACTAATGCACCCAGCCTTGACCTGGTATTCTCTCTCTAGAGTGCTATTAAAATGTGGGTTTTTTAAGCTAGCACTTTTTCTTGTACAAGTAAAGCAAAAACCACAAATGCAAAAGCCTGGTTCAGCATTAGTACTGTCTCTCACTCACAGCATCCCCATACTCAATAGCAGTCAAACCAAAGTGCCTGGAAATAATTTTTATGTGACCTTGTTGCTTCACATCAAGGTTTAAGCTCTAAAGCATTGGTGGAAAATGGGACATGTTCAAATGTATTCTGACTGAATCATCTAAACTTTGCCCAGCAGAAAGATAGCTGGCAAAGCCTGCAGTTTGTTACTGTTCATGGCACCTTGTGGCCGCCTCAGCATTAACTCTGGGGCTTGAGACCACATGTCCCAGCAATATATGCTCTACTTTGATTCACGTAACTTGTTTGTTTTTCTCCTGGAAGTCTGAGAGTCCATTGCAAAACCAAATGATAGTCATCTAATTACACAGCCATGTTAGAATATGGCAAAAGTGGTTACAGGCCTGACTGTGAGCTTGCTGCAGGCTGCCTTGCCACAGCTGCTTCATGTGAACAGGCTCATACAGTCACTGTTCCCTGGAAAGTAAGTGGTATAAACTCCACATGGTAATTTTATTCAGCTATCTGGCACTTGCTGGCACATCTTTGCTTACGTAGCCTAGTAGATAATGCAATTCTTTTAGTTTTCTTTTTAAATGATCTTAAAATAGTTTTCTTTGTTAGTTTAGCTTTTGTGACAACTTCCCTTTTGGGGACAGGAACCCTCAGGTTTGTTGTCATAGAAAACAACAGCTACAGACCAAAGATTTAATGCTTTTAGAATGAGTGGTAATGTGTAGGGTCTCTAATCAGAGATGCTTTGTACATCACTCGGAAGATGTAGTTCAGACAGAGCCTGAACTCCATGGTGTTTCTCTACAGAGGAACAAAATATTCCACAATTTGCTGAAATGAGGAGAAAAGGGCCCTCCTGCTACTGGGGCAGGAGTTGTTTGTTGCTTGAATTTCCTGAATGGGGAACTTAGGCAATACTGCAGGTTATTCGGAAAGATGCCTGCAGGGAAATGATTTATTTTTCTGTGTTTTGAGACCTCCTGGTTTGGTTCCCTGCCATGGTGCTGAATTGTTTCTGGGCATCCACGTGCCTTGGCTCTGTCTGTGAAAGGATTGTTAGGAGCACTCCCCGAGGAAGAGTAAACATGGGATTTAATTATCTGATTGATTCACGACATGTTTTTTGCCCACCTTGGATGCAAGGCACTTAAGCGGTGCAGAGTGGCCAGCTAAGTGCCACTGCACTCCTGGCCTTGGAGTGTTCCCAGTCAGGCCCATGAAGGAGGAACGTGTGTAATTTCTCCTGGATTTTCCCATCCCTCTTTGCCCCATTTTCTTGACATGGTGGCTCTCGATAATTTTAGCAAGAGTCATTCCCAAGTTCAAGGAATGTGTCTGTACAGTCCTGTGCAAGTGGGTCTTGATGGGGCTTTTGTTTTCTAATAGCTGAAACGGAGAAGGGATCTGCAGATAACTTGGATCTGGCTGGCTTGCCCCCTCGCCCGAAAGAAACAGATAGTCTACAGATGACACCACCTTCTCCGGATTCCAAGAAAAAGGCCAGGGGGATCAAGAAGTTATTTGGAAAGTAAGTAAAAGATGAGAAACAACCGTTTTCCAGAGCTGGGGCTTGCACCGGGGTTTGCTGGGAACACATCTTCCCTTTTTCCCCCTCCAACATGTGGCTCCATGGTTTACTGTCTCAAGAGCAGGAGCCAGTGTGGCATTTGGGAGAGCTAACAGTAGGTAAGTGGCAGGTACAAGAGGAGCTACAAACCCTGTAGGGAGACTGCTTGCAGTAGTAGCAGCGTGCCTTTTCCTTAGCCGAATGTGAATATGCTTTCTTCCTTTAAACTAGACTTAAAAGAAGTCAGTCTACCACCTTCAACCCAGATGACATGTCTGAAACGGAGTTCAAAAGAGGAGGGACAAGAGCAACTGCGGGGCCACGACTGGGCTGGTCTCGAGACCTGGGGCAGTCCCACAGGTAAGATGAGTGGTGCAGAACGTGCTGGTGCTTGCCTTCCTGGCAGCTCCGGTTGAGCACGGGGTCCAAAGCAGAAGCACGGTGTCAAAACGAAATGTCTCCTCTCCTGGCAAATGGAAAGAGGCCAATCCAGGCTGTTTCCTCCTTTGAGAGATGGTCTTTGCAGGGTTGAGGTTGGTTGGTTGGTGGGGTCCTGCTGCTGAGCGGAGCCTTCCTCGCTCACAGCTTTGCAGGGGCGCAGCAGTGAGGCCGTGTGAAGCAGGACGTGAGCCCTCGCGTGGAAATGACGGATATTCCTCCGATACATTTCCTGCTGCACTTCTGGGGATTAAAGCGAAACATTATGGTCTGACTTCAGGGTTTTAGCCACGCTAGGCAGCAGAGGTGGTTGTTTTCAGTAGTATTAATAGACCGTGTTTATTGTGATAATGGCAGGAGATGAGCAGCGATCAGCACTTCATGGTGCTAACGGTTCAGAAGTAGAGACACCCTCTTCCTTGCGATGCTCACCTAACAGCCAACCACAATGCACATTCTCCCCTGGAGATTGTCCCAACTCCCACAAAATACTCATGAATTAGGCTTAGGTTTTGATTTTATTGTTATTGTTAGGAGATCTGAGGTACAGGACTTACCAGTCTTTTTTTGGTAAAATCTTCCGTAGTGAGCTGGACATGCCATTCGCAAAGTGGACGAAGGAGCAGGTTTGCAACTGGCTCCAGGACCAAGGGCTAGGCTCTTACATAAGTAATGGCAAACACTGGATACTGTCTGGGCAAACACTTCTGCAGGCTTCTCAGCAGGATCTGGAAAAGGTGAGAAATACTGGAAACACTGCTTTCAGTTAAATGTACAAAAAAATGCTATTTCTGTGCATGTAAATCATGTCTGTAAGGTGCACCCAGGAAAAAAAAATGTAAACAAAGTGAGTTTTTAAAATACCATCATCTGCAGTGATGCCAAATCCGTTTCTTTTTAGGTGACATTTCATAGAAAGTTAATGCTCTGTAATGAAACTAATAATTACTAATAATTACAAATGTGATTTAACTTCATTAAGCATGGACATGTCAATCAGCTATGCCACCTTCTAAAAATATGCACGTGAGAGTGCCTTGTTGCCATACAGGTTTGTAGCCCTGATTCATTAGCCCTCATATGTGGTACAGTTATTTTATGCCTGTGTGAGAAGGGTGTAAAAAGCTGCTGGTCTGATTATGTTTTCTGCCCATTTTACACAAAGAGGAATGAGGACTTGTTACACACAGGGTGATCAGTCTCCTAGTGTTAAATTGTTACAGAATTTTTGTCTTTTTTCTAAAACTGGAAACAGGAAAAAGTAGGTTCAATTTATACTTTGAATCCACAGTATTTGCTAATGATTGAATTTTCGGCTTTTAAAAAAGTCACTCTCCTCGCCAAATAGTAAGCCTGTTTTCTCAGTTAGGCACTGAGCTAATTCAAAGCTGTAGTTACACTACAACTGTAATAAAAGTGTGATATGAACATAGTGGCTTGTAATAGTCTTATCAGAGGTAACATTAACTAGCAAGCACTGATGAAAGCATATATGGAATTGAAGAGAACCTGGAATGGCTGCACTTGCAACTAAACTGGGGAAGGTGTTATGCATTTGGAAGTAATAATAAATTTCAGTAATGCTTGAGACCTTCATATGCTCTTAACTAAATAATTCTTTTAACCTTACCTGCCTAAGTGGGGGGGAAGTAATCAATCCCATCAAGTATTTTTCTGAATGCTAACATGGTTTATATTGTGGGATTTTTTTAACCTGGTATGAGAATATTGTGGCCAACCTTTTCATACAGTTTGGAATCCACCATATTGTGAAATTAATCCGCCACAGTGAGCAGACCTTTCCCTAGTGCTGAACATGTGCTAAAATGATGCTGATATTCAGCAAATAGAAAATACATGTGTCAAGTCACCAGCAAGTGCTGTAGACAGTGTGACTCTCTGAAATCATTTGTAATTCAGCAGAGGGAGAAATAAAATATAATATTGTCTCTAGGTTTCCTGCTTTCCTTCCTTTCACAGGAGCTTGGGATAAAGCACCCATTGCATCGGAAGAAGCTTCAACTTGCTCTGCAGGCACTCGGATCTGAAGAGGAAAACAATCATGGAAAACTGGATTACCACTGGGTTACCAGTAAGTTTTTATTACATGCTGAAGCAGCAACTTTAGATAGGGGTTCCTAATCATGGCTAATTTGGAGCTCAAAGAATGAGAAGAACGCTGACTGGTGCTAGGTAACTTAGCTACCACACTAACATGAGTGTCTGTCTCTGCCTTAGGGTGGCTGGATGACATTGGCCTCCCCCAGTACAAGACCCAGTTTGATGAAGGAAAGGTGGACGGCCGAATGCTCCATTACATGAGCGTAGTGAGTAAATGGCTTTTCTTTTCCTGACATTTTTTTCATGTTCTTAGTTTCTGCCCACCTTAGTGCACACTGGCATACCTCCAGATAGGTCACTAAAGACCAGGTGAGACTAGACAGACCTGCTTTCACTATGCCTACTGTTGCAACTGCATAGATACTAAATTCCTGTAACACCTTCCAGCCTCTCCATCCAAGCCTCCATATTCCTCCTGCTCCCTTTGGGTCAATTCACCAGCAACAGCAGCCTTTTTTGCACCCCACAGCACAAGCAGCTGTGCTCTACTGTGCACCTCTGTGCAGTTACTTAGAAGGGATTCGATGGAAAGGAAAACTCCTGAAAGGAGAAAATAGCCCTATTTTAGCCAAACCAGGACATCCCTTCCCATGTTCACCTCCTCTCAGCTACCCCCAAGCCTTTCCCAGCAGCAGCCCCAGCCCCAAATGTGTTCCCTGCTCCTGCTATATACAGGAGGGAAGAGGGGTCCAGGCAGCAGCTGGCCCCAAGAGACAGCCAGCTGCAGCTAGGAAGGAGGCACCACCATTGCGGA